GATTTCAGAAGTGAATGATTTCATAAAATCTGCATATTATAGTCATTCTCAATTGGAATAAGACCATTACATATGATTTGGCAAGGAGAAACTAATGGTGAATATCACTTCTTTTATAAATCCAAATTGTATTTTTTAAAACAATTATTTACCTCAATTATGAGGAAACATTTAACAGACAAGCTATTTTCTAAATTGCCCCTATACCTCTTTGTAGCTCCCAAACTGAAAATTCCCCCAAATTCTGGCTCCAAAACCATGTAAATAGAAAGTTTTCCTTTAACAAGGTGTTTGGTTATTTGTTGGCTTATTCACTCTTAATCACACAGGGTCAGATCCTTCCTTTGCAACACATACGAGACTCCACTAAATGTATGTAAATGTAAAATACTAGCATCAATTAAACCATGAAAACCTCTAGTACTTTCTTGTCTAGGAATGGTTATTCAACATGTTGAATTCATCATTCTTTTGACTGAATTCTGCTTGGAAAACAAATGTGAAAAATCAAGATTTGCAGAATAAGTGACAGTTTGGGGAGGTGCTTAACCTAAGGGTCCTAAGTCAGAGAAGTGAGGGGTGAAGAGAGAAAATTCTCTATCCCATATCACTGAGAGAGCCAAACCAGGTCAGTCTTCTTTTGGGTTCTAATGAATCTGCACATCATCCAGGGATCTTGAACTCAGCCTCATTTTCTGCTCTGTGCTGCACTAAAAGATTCACTTAGAGAATGAGGGCTGATCAAGGGGAGAGCCCAGGACTCCTCAAGCCCCGGGAACGTGAGAGCAGTCCTTTGGGAGCAGGGTAACTATGGGTGGGAGGACAGGAACTGCACATGGCTGTGGGCCTAGATTGACTTGTAACTTTAAAATCTTTGGATACATGGTACATCAATCTCTTTATGTAGCCTTGCCCTGTGCCCTTTGTTCACAAACATTAGAGGTGGACCTGACTAGAGACTATTCCTACCCAAATATTTCTTTTTCTCAACCATGAAAATAATTATCAAGTAGTCCTATAAATTCAATCCATTAGACTTATATAGATAGGATATTTATTTATAGTGTTTTTTGGTAAAGATTTGTGATTTTCATTTCTATCATTAGGTTAGATAAGACAGTTAATAGACTCAAGAAAGTTTCCAAATGTATGTTAATGGCTTGGTGATTAGTGAAAATCTGGGCCACTTCATAGACACCTCATAGAACTCCATTGGAGGCAATGTGGTTATTCCCCTGATTTGTGCTAAAAATAATAACAGAACCATTTAACCTGGATGGATAAGTTCCCAAACAAACAATAAAGAAGAATGGTTTTAAAATCCAGACTGGAAGAACCTAGACTTGGAATCGAGACAGTTTGATTGATTGATTCCAATATATTACAATGAGGAGGATTTCAATATATTACAATGAAGAGGTTGGAGTATATTGGTGGAGTCCTAGGGCCCTAAGCAACCTCTAAGGACCAGTACAGGACATAGGGCGAGTAGTGGTCAGGGACTCCCACCCCACCAAGGTTAATACTACAGTGTGTCTTTAATAACTAATTTGGCTATGAAAACAATAACAGTTTACAAACCACAGACTACATAATTTCAAAATTCCATTCTATCTCAAAAACGTTATCGTTTTAAGTATGTAGAGAGACAAAGAGGAACTTTGGGTAATCAAACCTAAATGAAACCCTTCTTCTTCGACATTAAAATAAAAATGAAGAGAAAAGCCCCAAAGAAATTGCTTCATGAATCTTATTTTCCTACTTGATAGAATCATAAACTGATTGAGACACGTATTTTTCAAACCCCTGGAATTCAGAAAGGCTGAGTTATCTCAGCACATATTCTCTGTTGGATTTATTAGTGTTCCCACTTGAACAGATCAGTTTGGTGAGTATAAACAGACAGTAGATTTTGATCACTGAGAAAGTAAAGGCCAAAAATGAGAAAAGTGACTTTTATGAAAATAAGGTTGGGAAATTACTGAGGGCTTTTAAAAAGACAACCAACATGGATTAAGTGACAAGGAATGCATATAATATGAGCAGGATGGCATTAGATTGATTGGAGAGGAGAAATGCAGGAGAAAGGTAGGAAGGAAAGGTAACAGCAGTCCAGCTGTGTGATGACCAGGGCCAGGAGCTAGGATTTGGCACAGCTGCAAGGGGAGAGGGAGGACATGCATGTAAGTTGCCAAAGAAGACAAGTCAAATAGGTGTTAGAATGGGAAAGGAGCCAGTATCCCTAGGCTTCCCATCCACATCTCCGTTTACTCAAACACAATTTCTCTTTTGGGAAAGTAACCTTTGTCCTTTATCCTAAGTACTTTCTAATCATCCACATCCTACTATAAGGTTACAAATTAATGGAAGTCAACTTGGAGACTTCTCCAGTGACATGAAATTGTTTTCTTTTACTCTGTGGTTTAACAGTTTCTCCACAGTAACAGGGCAGTCTTTTTATTACCAGAAACACGGACCTTATTTGTGGTCTTCAGCCATGGCAAAACTCCCGTCAAAGCCAATGGGAGTTGTGGCTAAGTAAACCTTAGTGAATAATACTCAGTTTTTATAAGGTTTGGAATATGAAGCAATCAGAATTGTTATTTGCTTATTATTTGTTGTTTTTGGTTCCCATGAAAGTATTACCACAAATAGGATGGAGGATTATGTCTTTCTTTACATGCACAAAACACATTTTGAAATCTTGAATAGAAATGATATATTCTTCAGGAAGGAAATAGATAGAATTTTAATCAGCTCTTGATTATTGATTTAGAAATTATTTTCTCTTTCTCCAGTTGGGTTTAACACTTGCAAGCATTTTTACAGTGCATTATTTCTAGAAAAAAATTATTAATTCATTTGCTATTCAAAAAAAAAAACTGAGTTCTACTCCAACATGAAAAATAAGAAGTAGGAAGAATACAGTTTCAGGAAAAAAAAGTATTATTTAAGAAATTCTTGAGAAATTTACCAAATATTTCCTAAATAATTTCATAAGAGTTTACTCCAAATAATTAATTATGCTGTTTGTATTGGAAATTTTGTAATGGCATCTCTTTGATCTGCTGTGGTACACAATCAAAAAATTAGCAACAACCAATTGACCCTCACCATGAAAGTATTTGATCACTTGGTCATCAAGGAAGCATCACATAACTACATTAAACAATATCTGCCTACTATCTTCTCTCTCCATTTTCTTAATTTTGTATATTATATGGTAAATGCTGGGGGGAGATTACTATTACATATTCCATTAATTGAGAACAACTAAGTGTATTGCTTATAAATTGGTTTTTTAAAAATAAAAAAGTGAATTGGTTTTTATTTTGGATTAATTTAGGAAATATGACATAATTTGACTAAATGGGTCATTCATTCCCTGGTAGAGTAATTTTGGCAGTTTTAGAACACAGGGCAATACTGACTACTTTCTTCTCCTGGAAATGCTATTTGCCTTTCTATAATCAGCTCTTTGCTGGTTAATTTTTTACGTGTTTGACTAATCTCTTCTAGTATCTTTAATTAGTTCCTCTTCTCAATCTTCCACAAAAATCTCCTGTTTCTCTCCCTAAATGTGTTATTTTCTTGGTGAACTTTCCCAAATACACATCTTCAGGCATCACTTCAACTACAGATCCGTAAGCTGCCCATGTGTTTTTGTAAATAAAGTTTTATTGGAATACAGCCATGCTAATTCATTGTCTATGGCTTTTTTTTTTTTTTTTTCATTTCAATGGCAGAGTTGAATAGTTGAGACAGAAGTTGTATAGTCCACAAAGCTTACAACATTTACTATCTTGTACTCTAACAGAAAGTTAGTTAACATTTGACCTAGAACATAGTCAACTCTCCATAATTGCAACAGGAAATTGAAAATTCAACCTGTTCAAAGCAAATTTATTTAATGCCATTGTTATCTACTTATTTTGTTTCATTGAACGTTTTTAAAATGTCTTTATCTTCCTTTTCCTTTGTATTGCCTACATCACAACGGTCTGCTAATCTCCCTCAAATCTGAACTCTTACCACTTGTTGTATTTATTGATCCTGTCCATCTCTTACCTGAATATTTTAGCATTTCATTTCATTTCGAGCTTCTCTTTCTTTAAATGTATTATGTGTTCTTTTGCCAGTAATCTTAGGCAAAAGATTTAGCTGTTCATGTATTTATTATTTAACTTCCTTTGATACCTCCCATAACTTCACGATAGAGTCCAAAACCTTAGCCTGTAATTCAAGACCATTTATTCTACGTTTCTGCCACTCCTCCTAGTGCTACAGGTATCTACTCACTTTCCAAGACACTATTACCCAAGCAATTCATATCCTTTCTAGCTCATGCATGTCTTTAAATATTATTGTCTCTCTGCTTGAAATGCTTTCCCAATTTTTCTTCTGTAATCCTACTCATTTTTTTTTTTTCCATGCTCAATTCAAATGTCAAACTCTCAATGAAGCCATTCTCAGTAGGCAAAATTAAATCGTACTTCATTCTGCTTCTTTATGACTTAGGATGCATTCAACTTTTTTTGATCTTCAGCAATAGTTCAAAAAAAATCATAACTCTTCTGTTGAATCTATATATGGTCTTAGAATACTTTTCAGGCAATTACTATCATTTAAAGGTAGTCTGAGAGGTAAAATCTGTATCATACCATGTGAAACACTATGTTCTTTAAGCAGGACAGCAACTTCTTCATTTATTTATTCCAAAATCCCAGAATAGAAATAAGCTCTTAAAAATTGTTTAAACTGCTGAGTTTACCTGAACTGATTGAAATTGAAATGGAAATGCTAATATAGTATTTGAAGTGAGCTGTTAAGGGGGAATCACCAACATTTCAGGTATGACTTAAGTTACTTAGAGACAAATACCTAATCTTCTGATTTGAATGGTGAAGGTATATCTGTCTATTGACAAAATGAACTTTTTGTCAGCTTAGTAATAAAATAACAATGATAATAATGATAATTTATGTATTATTTTCTAGTTGCTGGGACTTTTATGTTTAGTCTCATTTAACTCAAAATCATGTTAATTGTTGTTCTCATCATTTTCCTCTTCATCATTCCATTTTGTAGACACAGAAATCAAATGTAAAGAATTTAATTAATTTGCTCTAGGTTATATAAATAATAAGTGAAATATCTAGGATTAAAGGTTAATTCTGCCTGACTTCAAAGCCTGGGTTCTTAACAAATAAAATAAATTGGTCTTTAATTTAGAGTAGCTATAGAGTAGAGTAGGTAGATATAGCTCTGCTTTTTATATGGGGAAAATTATTGAATTATTTTTTCAAACAGTACATAGGGAATGATTATAATGTGGACACCTTCCAGAAGTGCTTTAGAGTCTGGTGGATTTGGCATGTCTTCCAGTCATTGTTGCATTTCAGTTGACTCTATTTCAGTTTTTAGATACACGATGATGTGCTCAGTGTAAGTATCAGATTCCCAAATGACTATCTTCAATGATCTCTATTAGGAATGACCTCTAAAGTTTGAGAATTAGGACAATGGTGACATTTCAAAAAACATTTTTTTTTGCCTCATCCTGTAACTCTCTCAATGTAAAAACCATTTTCTTCATGTTGACAACTATATTTGTTGTCTTAAATCCCAGTTTGTTTCAGGCTATCCTATCTAGTTACAATGGCATTCTTGTCTTTCTAACTGCTATTGTTTACCAACAGTGTGCCCTGTTTGTGCTGCAGACTTCCATTCCTATTTTTCTTTTAACTCAAACCTTTGCTGTTATCCTAGGAAATTTCAAAAGAACAACATATCCAGCTCCTGGTTCATTTACCTTCTCAGCCATGAACTCTCAAAATCAAAGCCAGCAAGTTGTCACCACCTGAAATTATCCCTCTCACAAAATCCATAAATCAGACGCCCACTGTCAAGAGACAATTCTCCGTGGGTGTCTCACATTTCTGCTCATCTTGAAGGTAAGGTATTGATTATCCTTTGCTGTAAACAATCTGTAAAAGGATGGACATACAGAAATTACTTCGAAGAAAGAGAGCCTCCCTCCAGAACAAGGGCATGTTTGCTTACAACCTTGGAAGATAGATACAGTGCCTTCCTCCAGAGCAAAGGGCAATCGTGTTTACTATCCAATGTAATAAATATAATAGCTTCCACTAAAGCAAAGGGCAGGTGTGCTTACTGATCATATAAAATGTTGGGTTCCCTAAACTTAAATTTCTCTCCTATAATTAACCTGTTGAATGTGTGGGTGTCATCTGTGTCACTGTATTGCCTTATGGAAATTAGGGCTGAGAGAACTGGAGCAAGTTTGGTAACATTCTGGCTAATTCTATTTCTGTGGGTAATCAACCATCTTCTACGTACATCTATAAAAGTGTGGCAGGCTAATTAGTTACCTTGCATATAGGGTAAAATCTCAGCCTCTTTACAGTTCTTAGCATCCACTCCCTATATACTCCTACATTCTTCCATCTTGCCTGTTAATCTTGCCTGCCTGCCATCTTACTCCTTTCTTGGTCACTTAACTTGCACCAGGTGCAGAATCCCTCTCTTGTCTTTATTAATTTCTAGTCAATACCCTAAACCATGTTGCCAGTGTATCCTTTCATTAACGTCACCTGGAAAAATTTGAATTTTTATTATTCCAATTATGTTCTTTGTTTTTTTTCAGACCACTGAGAACCTCTGGGAGAAAATATGCAGCAGATTGGTATTAATATAACTTTTGTGAGCAATGTCAGCTACTCCCTAACTGTTTTCTAGTCATATGTCTCTCTTCACTTTGGGAAGTGGCTTTCAAATTTGTACCACTCTCTTCAATTTCGGTGTCACACCTCAACCTTCTTAGTTTTTAGCAAATTGTCTTGCTTCCTACTGCATAAAGAAGAGAGTAGCTATGAAATGGAATACATTGAAATTTTTCATCAACAAATGCATACATCTGTGCTCTCTTTACCTGCAATATGTAAAGAAGAATATAAAAGTCACACATTTGATTTAAAATACTTTGAACTTAAATTCTAAAAATATCTAGTTTTATTATTTTATTATTGCTATTTATGAAAGTTTGGCTCCTGCAGCAAAATTAATCTGCTGAGCCAATAGTGATTATTTTCTCTGCTTTCTAGAGTGGGAAATGAGTCAATGAGAAATGAGCTGCTTCTGATGTAACACTCTTGGGAGAGATGGAGCTATTGGAAAACACGACCTGCTCCAAAGTGCATGAGCTAACAGGGACAAAGGAGAAAGGGAGGATGAGAACTTTACAAGAGAGCTATAATGGGGTGAGACTGCTGTAGTTGGCGCTTTCTTCTTATTTGAACAATGCCTTTAGATCTAACCCGACCCTTGTGACTTTCTCTAAATAGAAGCTTAGCAAAAAGCCAGCATGGTGAAACCAACATTCAAGATACATTACTAACAGCATCTACCTTCAGGCACAACAACCAGGGAATGAATGTCTGGGACATGAAGACATCCTGTAGTGGGAGCAGGGTGAGAAAACAAAAGGCATAGGAAGAGGTTCCCTATCTTTTTCAACCAAAAAATATCCTAGTTTCCTCCTTTTAAAAAATATGTACTTCATGTTAAGAGTGTTGTCTATTCTATCTAGACACATCAGTGGATTGGGGAAGGTTAAAGAAAGCTATTTTTAATCCCACTAGGAGCAATTCTGCCAACCCCCTCCTATCTAAGGTTAATTTTGCCGTGTGCTTTGGACCACAACCTGTTGTGCTATCAAAGCAATCTTGCATGTGGCACTGTCCTTCCTGATTCTCCATACTCCCATGTGAAAATTTAGTATCACGATTTGAATATTCTCAAGGCTCTTGCACTCTATTGGACCCAGTAGGCTTCTTTCAGTCTTTGTCCTACTTTGTCTCATTGCACATTTACATAAAGTTGACCAATTTTCTTTCTTAAATAATTTTCCCTTGGCTCTTATAAAAAATTACATTTTCACAGTCTTTCTTCTACCTTTCCGTTCTCCTTGCTTTTTCTTTTTCTCTGATTCCTCCTACTCCAATAACAATGAAATATTGGAGTTCATCAAGACTTTCCTCTAGATTCTCTTCTTTACCTTACTACTGTCTGTAATTAGGTAATCTCATACACTTCAAGGACTCCAAAATGTGACTTTATGCCAATAATTCCAAAAATCTCAATTTCTAGCATGACAGTCTCTTTCAATTTTCAGGACCTAATATTCTACAGCCAACTCATTTTATGTGTAAGCATCGCAAACAAAAATATGCAAATAAATCTCAGGACTCTCCACTCTGCAAGACACTCTAACTCTGCTTCTTTTCCTCTGATATTAATTATTACATTTATATATTATATAATATTAAGTATAAGTAAAATTGTATTGGAAATACATTTTTAATGAGATAACATACATTTTTATTATTTGTTTACAAAACCTAATTTGAACAGATAAGTACACAGAAATGGAAGTAGGATTTAAAAATTGCAATGCCACACATATTAACCTATATTCTAGAAATCATATAGTGATTAATAACAAAATTACATATTAGTGGTGTTTTGCTCAACCAGTGTATGCAAATACAATCGATTTTTACTAATTAATCTTGTATCCATCTGGCTTGCTAAACTTTCCTATTGTTTCTAATAATATATCTGTAGTTCTTCAGGTTTTTCATGTAAAGCATTATATCACCTACCAATTTTGACATTTTTATTTTCTCATTTTTGTTCCTCATGATAGTAATGCTCTTTTCTTGTATTATGCATTTTGAGGTCAAATATAGTGTTGAATAGAAGTGATGATAGTATCCTGTTGGGCCCATTTTTAAATGAAATGTTTTAAAAATTTCCCCATTTGGGATCATGTTTGCTATAGGTTTTCTATACATTTTATCAAGTTCAAGAATGGTTTCCTACTCCTAATTTACCAAGATTTCCTGTATTTTATTTTGAAAATTACATCAATCTCTTAGAATAAGCTGAAAAGTGTACTATCACCATTTATGAAAGTTTACTTGTAAAGCATTGTAAAACTGTTCAATATGTCTAGCCAAACACTTAATGTATGCCTTATTTGTTTATTTTATACAATAACTCTATTTCTAAAGATGCCTTCCAGTGTTAATCTATGTAGATTTACATGTTTAAAATGTTTTAATCATGTTATTATTTTTACTTGTACCATTTTCTAAATTTCGTATTATTTTTATTTGACACATAATAATTGTACAACGTATAACTTACTTAACTAACAGAGAGCTATGGTGGCCAGGTAAAATTGCATTGAACCAAACAAGTGGCTGATGATACATGGCTTTTTGGAGGAGACTTGTTTTGAGTTATGCTGGATAAAGTAGGACAGGATTTAATTGACGTCAAAGTTACAGAAGCATAGTTTGTGTAACACAAGAGGGAGTGAGTTACTATTAATCTTAGAGACATCACTTAGGGTCCACTGAAAATTGGCAAACTTTCATAAAGTGAGGTTATCTCTGATTAGTTAGCTTTCAAATTTGTGTTCACAGAAGTAAGCTGTCCTTGAATTAAACTGGTTTAAACAACCAATACTTTAACACCAACTGGGAGTCCTAGAATTCAATTGAATTCTGACCTTAACTGTTCAGAGTTATCACAGGTCACACAAGTAAAAGGGTTCAGCCCCACAGCACTATCCCCACTTCAGATGCCAGTTACAAGTCCTGGGTCCCCAGGCTACCTGCACTTCTTTATGACTTGGCTATACATTCAGGGGTTCCTACGACCTCTTCTTTATATCTGAAAATTTGCTAGAACAACTCACAGAACTTAGGAAAGCACCACACTTAAAATCACCGTTTTGTTTTAAAGAGCTCAACTCTGAAACAGCCAAAGGGAAGTGAGAAATAGGACAAGGTATGGGGCAGTGGAGAGGAGGTTCACAGCCTGTACAATTTTTCTTAACAGAATCTAGGCATGCCACCCTCTCAAAACATTGATGTGTTCCCTGAAAGCTCCCTAAACTTCCTTGTTCAAGAGTATTTATTGAGGCTTCATTACATAGGCATGACTGATTAAATAACTGCTACCTGATTAAACTCAATCTCCAGCTCCCTCTCTTCTCTGGAGATTGCCGGGTGGAGCTGAAAGTTCCAATCCTCTAATCATGTGAGTGACAAGCCATTCCCTTGGAACTTTCCATAGGCCTACCAGAGATCACTTCCTTAGCATAAACTCACAACAGAAAGAGGTTCCTTATGAATAACAAAAGATGCACTTATCCCTCAGGAAATTTCAAGGGTTTTTGAATCACTGTGCCAGGAACAGAGAGCAAACACCAAATATATATATCTTTATTTTACTTCACATGACTACAACCATGTTCTATAGAGTAATCAACAATTTCTTAGTAGTTTGAAGGCCTTTAAAATTCTCTGGTCATTCTAAGGATTTTGTTTTCCATTAAGCAAAGCTGCACATGAGACCATCAGGGACTGCCCAGTTCTTCACCATTTTTGTTGATTTCCCTTGGGTTTTGTCTGAAGAAGTCTGATTTGCTGTTTATCTTCATTCAATCAGTCTGATTCTGTTCTGTTTTGGTTTCGGAGTCATTTGTTGTATCATCTCTCGGGACGATGATTATGTAGAATCATTTAATATTTTAAACAACATTATTGGATAACATTAGCTGACTCTGAGAAAGCAGATAGAATTAAAATATTATAAGAAGGAGTGCTAGACAAGGTGGCTCATATCTGTAATCCCAGCTACTCAGGCAGCCGAAGTGGGAAGATCACTTGAGCCCAGGAGTTTGAGGCTGCAGTGAGCTATGATTATAGCTCCACTCTATAGTTGTCCACTGTACTCCAGTCTGGACAACACAGCAAGACCCTGTCTCTAAATAATATATATATATAAATATTTTTTTTTTTCTTTTTCAACTTGTATTTATGATTCAGGGGGTACATGTACAAGTTTGTTACCTGGGTATATTGCATGATACTGAGGTTTGGGGTACAGATGATCCTGTAATCAAGGTATGGAGCATAGTATCCAACAGTTAGTTTTTTAACCCTTGACCTTCTTTCTACCTTCCCCCTCTAGTAGTCCCTAGCATCTATTGTTGCTGTCTTATGTCCATGAGTACCTGATGTTTAATTCCCACTTATAAGTAAGAACTTGTGATACTTTGTTTTCTGTTCCTCTGCTGATTTGCTTAGGATAATGATCTTCAGCTTCATCCATGTCCTGCAAAGGACATAATTTTATTCTTTTTTATGATTATATAGTATTCCATGGTGTATATGTGCTACATTTTCTTCATCCAGTCCGCTTTTGATAGCCTCCTGGGTTAACTACAAGGCTTTGCTATTGTGAATGGTGCTGTGATGAACATGTGAGGACACGTGTCTTTTTGGTAGAACAATTTGTTTTCTTTTGGATACATACCCAGTAATGAGAGTACTGGATCAAATGGTAGTTGCATTTCAAGTTCTTTGAGAAATTTGAAAATTGCTTTCCATAGGCACTGAACTAATTTACATTCCTGCCACAGTGTATAAGCATTCCCTTTTCAACACAACCTCACCAACATCTGTTTTTTGTTTGTTTGCTTCTTTGTTTTTGGCTTTAATAACAGCCATTCTGACTGGTGTGAGATGTTATCTCTGATTAATGAGTGAGGATGAGCATTTTTCCATGTTTATGGAATGCCCATATGTCTTCTTTTGAGAAGTGTCTGTTCATATCCTTTGTCTACTTTTTAATAAGGTTATTTGTTTTTGCTTGTGGAATCATTTAAGTTCTTTATATATTCTGGATACTACACTTTTGTTAGATACACTGTTTGTGACTATTTTCTCCCATTCTGTAGGTCATCTGTTTACCCTGTATATATTAGGTTGGTGCAAAAGTACTTATTTTTAATGGTAAAAAATGCAATTACTTTTGCACCAATCTAATTACTTTTGCCATTAAAAATAATTACTTTTGTAGCAACCTAATAGTTGTTTTTCTTTTCTTCTCTTTTTTGCCATGCAGAAATTAGTTTAATTAGATTTCACTTGTAAAATTTTGGGGTTTTTGCAATTGCTTTTGACGACTTAGTCATAATTCTTTTTCTAAGGCTCTTGTCCAGAATGGTGTTTCGTAGGTTTTCTTCCAGATTTCTTACAGTTTGAAGTATTACACTAAAATTCATTTTGTGTTAATTTTTGTATATGGTGAAATGTAGGGGTCCAGTTTCATTCTTCTGCATACGGCTAGACAGCTATCCCAACACCATTTACTGAATAGGAATTCCTTTCCCCATTGCTTATTTTTCTTGACTTTGTCAAAAATTAAATGGCTGTAGGTGTGCAGCTTTATTTATGAGTTTTCTATTTTGTTCCATTGGTCTCTATGTCTGTTTTTGTACATGCTGTTTTGGCTACTGTAGTCTTAGAGTATAGTTCAAAGTCAGGTGATGTGATGCCTCCAGCTTTGCTCTTTTTTTTTTGGATTGCTATGGGTATTTGGCCTCTCTTTTGTTTCCATATGAATTTTAAAATAGTTTTTTTCCAATTTGCTGAAAAATGACATTGGTAATTTGATAGGAATAGCATGGAATCTGTAGATTGCTTTGGGTAATATGGCCACTTTAATAATACTGATTCTTCCTTTCCGTGAGCATGGAATGTTTTTCCGTTTGTCTGTATCATCTCTGATTTCTTTTAGCAATGTGTGTGTGTGTGTGTGTGTGTGATCTTTTATCTTGGTTAGATGTATTCCTAGGGGTGTGTTTGTGTGTGTGTGTGTGTGTGTCTGTGTGTCTGTGTGTGTGTATCTATTGTAAATGCAATTGTGTTCCTGACTTGTCTCTCAGCTTAAATGTTATTGATGTATAGCTCTCCTACTGATTTTTGCATATTGATTGTCTATTCCAAAACTTTGTTAATCAGTTCCAGGAGACTTTTGGTGGCATACTTAGGATTTTCAAGGTATAGACTTATATTATCACCAAATTATATTATCACCAGTATATTCTCTCAAATATATTTTCCAGTTTGTTTGCTTTTCCCCCTTCTCTCTCAAGAATGTCAATAATTCATGAGTTTCATTGCTTTACATAATCCCATATTTCTTGAAGACTGTTAATTTTTCAAAATTCTTTTTTCTTTATTTTTGTCAGACGGGGTTAGTTCAAAAGACTGGTCTTCTAGCTCTGAAAATCTGTCTTCTGCTTGGTCCAGTCTATTGATAAAGCTTTTAATTGTATTTTGAAATTCCTTAAGCGAGTTTTTCAATTCCCAAAGCTCTGACAGATTACTTTTTAAGATGTTTATCTTTCCC